CAAACAATGCAAGTATACTTTTATCTGATACATCTTACAAACTGAGCAAACGATGTAAGTATACCTTTATCTGATACATCTTACAAACTGATCAAACAATGCAAGTATACCTTTATCTGATACATCTTAGAAACTCAGCAAACAATGCAAGTATACTTTTATCTGATACATCTTACAAACTGAGCAAACGATGCAAATATACCTTTATCTAATACATCTTACAAACTGAGCAAACAATGCAAGTATACCTTTATCTGATACATCTTACAAACTGAGCAAACAGTGTAAGTATACCTTTATCTGATACATCTTACAAACTGAGCAAACGATGCAAGTATACCTTTATCTGATACATCTTACAAACTGAGCAAACAATGCAAGTATACCTTTATCTGATATATCTTACAAACCGAGCAAACAATGCAAGTATACCTTTATCTGATACATCTTAGAAAGATTTTAAACTTGATTATTGTTTGGATGTATATCTTATAAACTAGCATAATGTTGGTAAGTGAAATACACTTAGTTTATCTTACAACAGCCAAATTGGACGAGGATGTTATCAAGTCTGCTCTCCAGTTCTGGATGGACAGTACCTGTGTGAAGTTCAGAGAACTCAAAACCTACGAAAAAGCTCCAAACTATCTTTACTTCGTCCGAGAAAACGGGTACGTTGGGAACTAGCGTGTTACTTGTTTCACTCATTTTATATATTTTACAATATTGTCGTTACTGTAACTTGAATATGAGTAACTAGTGTTTGTTCCAAACCCGTTTTGTATTACCACCTTACTGGAATTACAATAATCAACTCCCTTTTGTTTTCAATGAACTTTAGAATTAACTAAACACGTTGGTTACTCGAAGCAGAACGTGCAGTAAAATTCTATTTCATTTTTCTTTAAAAACCCCCAGTGGCACAACGTTATGTCTGCAAACTTACAAAGCTAGAAACCGGGTTTCGATACCCGTGGTGGGCAGAGCACGGAAGGCCCATTGTGTAGCTTTGTGCTTTATTTCAACCAACTTATTCCTTTTTTTAAAATATAGAATTCTCATCCGTTAAAACCGCGCATGTTCATTATAATTAATAATTTATGCTGTATGAAAATATTTCATGTTGTACTTATCACTAAATGCCCTCTGTGGGCTTATAACGCTGAAAGTTGGGTTTCAATATCCGCAATTGGCAGAGCACAGATATCTTAATGTGTAGATTCGCGCTTAGTAACAAAGAAACAAACAAATTGTTTTTTTAAAGAACAAACTAAATGTCCCCTGCCCCCCCCCCGGTTGGTCAATAATAAGTTTATGAACTTAAAATGCTAAAATCCGAGATTCGATTACTACCAACAACAATGACTAAACGCCTCCTGGTGACTCAGCGGTAACCTTAAGAGTTTATAAAATTAAAATTCGAAGTGGGCGCGATGTAGAATACCCGTTGTGCAAGATTTCGCTTAAAATAAATAATTACTTATCACTAAACTAACAAAAATAGCATGACATACAAAAACATATTAGTAGTATTTAACATGCTTATACTAAAAACTTGAAAACAATCAAATACCGTGGATTTTGTTAATCTAGAGAATATTCCAGTAGCAGTAACAGTTATATTGTCAACTTTGATAGGAAAAAAAAAGGTTTTTCGAAGATAATTGAAGTAAGTTTTTGTTTATTTAAAACAAGAAGTAGAATCATTTTTTCAACAATTTTTTGGCACGTGTGTAATGTTCAATCTTAAAAACTAATTATTTTTTTAAAAACAACGATTATTTTTAACACAATTCTATAAAAATGAGATTGTTTCCAGTCTCCAAATTACTAAGATAATAACTTACTGTAGAAGGTTAAAAAAGTGGTAAAAAAAATACCATGGTACAGCGGTATGTTTGTGGACTTACAATTCTAAAAACCGGGTTTCGATACCCGTGGTGGGCAGAGCACAGATAGCCCATTGTGTAGCATTGTGCTTACTTACACACAATCACAACTCTACATGTTTCGACGTATACTATTGCGTCATCCTTTTTAACCTTCTTCAGTAAGTTATTATTTTAGTAATTTGGAGACTGGAAACAATCTCATTTTTATAGAATTGTGTAAAAAATAATCGTTGTTTTTTTTAAAAACATTTTTTTAGTTTTTAAAAAGTAGAATGTTTAAAAAACTAATACTGATAGTACAAAAACCGTTTTACCATTCTGCAGGTGCTGGTCTTCTGTAGGTATGGTTGAGAATGAACAAAAGATATCTATAGGTCCAGGCTGTGACAAGGTGAGTTTATAATACGAAAGTATCTATATAAATATATTAGTACTGTCTGTTGTATATCCCTCTAACTACTTCGCAGGGTGTGGATGGATCTTCACCAAAATTGGTATTGAGATTGATTAGGGCCATGCTGGAGTACATACAAATTTTCAGTTTTGCGTTTTGCGGCTTTTATGGGCGTTTTTACGTTCTTAACCACTGCTTTAACTCATATCTAATCCTGACACCATTGTTTGAATATGAATGCTCTCAATCTCCATAAAACTATATTAATTTAATATATAGCCTATCATTTCGGTTACGTCATCATCGGAGATACTTTACTGTGTATAAAGTTAACAATGATTTAGTTCTAAACGTAATCTACTAATGTTGTTTAATTTCATCCTGTACCTCGTCTACTATTGTCGGCTAACTTCGTCCTAAACCTAATATTCTACTGTTGTGTAACTCCATCCAAAATCTAATCTGCTATTATTATCTAACTTCGTACAAATATCACCTACTATTGTTCTCTAACTACTGTTGTCTTAGTCCAAAACCAGCTATCATTGTTGTCTAACTTCGTCCAAAAACCACCTACTATTGTTTTAGATGAAGCTAGACAACCACCTACTATTGTCTAACTACTGTTGTCTTACTCCAAAACCAGCTACTATTG